TGGATGAAGAAGTTCCTCATGGAACTCGGCCATGATCAAGACAAGTACGAGCTGGGTTGTGACAATCAAAGCGCAATCCATCTTGCAAAGAATTCTACCTATCACTCCCGCACAAAACATATTGATGTGAGGTATCACTGGATCCGGGATGTGGTGGAAGGAGGAGAGCTCGAACTCGTCAAGGTGCACACTGACCAAAATTGGTCCGACATGATGACAAAGCCGGTTCTAGCAAGAAAATTTGAAGACTGCTGTGAAGGAGCCGGGTTGATGCTGAAGCCGACGCATTGAAGTCGGAGGGGGAGATTTGTTGGGCTTCCTCCTTCAATACTAAGCCCAAGCCCATTTGAGGGGTTTCCTAAAAACCCTAACCCTAATTTCCACCTCCTCTATATATACTCATTAGTTGTGGGTGGAGGCTAGGTCAGATTTGAGAGAACAAATTTGAGAGAATTATTTGATTGTTTGAGTAAAGCTTTATGCTTTGCATTTGAGAGATCTCTAGAGAGAGTTTGAGTGAAACATCTCTAGGGTATTTGATTCGTTGTAACCATTATTTTCATAGTGGATTTCTGATCTGGACTAGGTCCCGTGGGTTTTTTACTTCTTCATAGGAGAAGGTTTTCCCACGTTAAATCTGGTTGTGTTCTTCTTCTCTCTCTCCTGTTTTCGTTTTGATTTTTCCGCTGCGCTGCCTGACCTAGTGAAGTTCAGGCCGAGATCCGAGATCAGGATCTTGTTGATTGACTTCCGCACAAAGGCCCCTGAGCCGATCTGAGGGAACCGAGTTTTTCCCAACAATTTAAACACAGGCTTAGCCTTTTAAGACCAAAGTTCGGCTCGGCTCGTTAACACCCCTAGTTACCACCACCCTCAACAATCATAGAATGGCATAGAACACACAAATGAACCAATTGAAAGACTTATTAATGAAACCATCACACAAGTAGGTCAGTTGAACATACAAGTAGGTCACGTCACTCATTATAAATACAAAGGCTAAAATCCAGGTATATTCATCTATATCATACAAATAATACTTGTTGACTCAAATATTAACTTGAACGACAAATATTATCAAACTTGCGACATATCATTTCCAAGCCGGGATACCATCCTATTTAAAGACCCAGAATCTTAGTATTCAAGCAACAACATCAAACTTTTCCAACTCGGACCTGTAACACCCTGTTACCGGAACGGTGTGTTATCATCATATATGATATTAAACGCAGTTACAATCACAGTAGTTATTTGTAATTACGGGAAAATTTTTCTTTTTAATATCGTTTGTACCTTTCAAATAACTGTGATCATAACTCAAAATTTATTGCGGAATTATGAATGCCATAGCTTAATACCATGCAACTTACGTTTAAAGATGCTAAGTGGTTCCCATAAACCATCAAAGCTTAAAATTTATTTTATTAATGTTCGGTACCAGTGTATTCACTCTTTTCCTTATTACTCAATTAATTCCACACTTCCCTTTTCAATCTCATTTCTTACTATGTTATAGATCTCTTCGTTAGCTACGCGTGGGTTCAAACTGCACCCAAATCGGAGCTCTGTAGCTCGAGTTATGGCAATTTAGCCAAACTGCGTCTGTGCTGTTTTCGGGAATCGCGCTTGAGCGCCCAGAGGCAGAAAAATTGGCTCTTTCCAGGTATTTCGCGCGCTTGAGCGCCCAAGGGCAGGAAATTTTCCTATATTTCTCATACGTGGCGCGCTTGAGCGCCCATATCAGCGCTTGAGCGCCCTATACCTGATGCAGACTTGATTTTCCCTGTTTTCACCTATTTTTCTTTGGGGAATTACTTCCCACTCAACATGTGACCTAAAAGGGTAATCTTACATCATGTAATATCTATATATCTATCTTCACATAGTACATTAGCTTATAAGTCCTTGACCCTTCCATCGTATGAATTGGTCAAAATGTATTATGTTTACAACATCAAGTGCTTCATTTAATACCAAGTGGCATGGACAAGTCTCATGCTCACCAAAATACCGATATAAGCAAAAGGCATAGAATATACATCAATTACAAAGGACTTAGAATATAGTCATGAACACCCAAAAGCATGGCAATATCAACATGCAAAATACCCGAAAATGTTATGCTCTCTATATGTACACATGATCAACTCCTATATGTACACCCAAAATATATTTCAAGTCCAAAGTGCTAGACACTATGCTATGTGCATCAAATGTAATCCTCCAAAATGTTATGCTCTCTATATGTACACCATGATCAACTCCTCCACTAAGCAGGCATCTTGCCCGAAGATCCTCTATGCTCACTATAACCTGAAACGATGTCCCCAAACGCGGGATGAGATATACAAATATATCTCAGTAAACCAAGGGTACTAGAGGATCTCTCTACCTCATGGCTCACTCAATGTGCATACAATGATCATCATATTAAAATGCATAACATACAAAATCACAACACACTGGGCTCACATCCAAAAATATCCACACACAGATTACGTTCAAGGATCTCATCATATAACTCTCGGGAAGCTTCCTGGTGCCTCTCCCATGGATGAGACGACCCCATGGCAAAACCCAACTGGAACTCTTTAAGAGACCTATCCAGCAGAAGTCCAATGTTTGGATCATCTTAGTACTGCTTCCAGAGACGACCCCACGGAAAAACCCGACCGGAATCCCCCAAAGGGATATCTCCAGCGGAAGTCCAAACCACACACATCTACTGGCCAGAGATCACAGATATGTCACACAATCAAGACAATAATGCATGAACATGCCATTTCACACAATGTCAAAGAGCAAACAATCCAACCACTACCTTCCACTAGGTGTGACGAAACACACAAGGAGATAAAACCCAAGTACCAAGAGTTTACCTGAACTCCTCACAAGCAATGCTTTTCAACGTTAGCTCCAAGCTCAATCCGCCTCTATTGAATCCGTGAGAGGTAACCTATAATGATCATCCAACAATGATCATCAACAACTTGATCACAAGTACCAACAACCAAACAACACACAATCACTCTCACATTCCAACCCAATTTCCATCAAACTATCTCCATATTGCCAATGGGCATCTTGTTAAGGGATTTCCAATTGTTCTATCATGTTTCATTTTCATTCAACATCCACATTAAATTCCCCAACAACTTACATATAATTCTCACCAACCATATTTAAGACTACAACCCACAACTCCATCTTTTTCCACCAATGTTTCAGTAAGTTACAAAGTTCTACATCACCATAAATATTATTAGTTCAATTATCATCATTTATCATTGTGAACAATAAATTACAAATAGACACTACCATTAAAGCTCTCCAACTACCATAACTCACATACACTATTCACATATTCATCAAATTTATGATCTCTCAAATAACTCAATGAAATTGGGAATACTTACCACAAATGAACTCCCAAGCTTCCTAGGAATGGTTTCCAAGCACCAATGCAAGAAATGAGAGCTCCTAAGTCCCCACTTATCACCTAGGTCGAAATCTTTAGGAGGGAAATATCTCCTCACTGAATGCTCCCCACAAGAATCTCTCGACATGAAATACACTCACAATGGTGTGGGGAACAACTTTGTAGTAGCAAGTTTCTCCTAAAAGTGCTTAGAAATGGAGATGGAATTTCAAGCTCATGATTTAGTCTCCCATGGTGGTTTTCACGATTTGGGGCTGATGAGAGGATAGAGAAGGTCATCTTTTTTGTGACAAAACTCTCTCATGTGTTATAACTCACTCACTTAAGTGGGAGTGGATCACACTTGTCAGTTAACTCACTTAAACATCCATTTTAACCCATAAATTCATAATCTACATATTTTTCTCATTCACATCATATTTTTACTTCTTAGAATACTGATCATACTTTTGCACTTATCGATACAATTATATCGCAGTATTTTACACCAGTAAAATCACTATTTATCAAATTTCCCAAAATTAACCTACGAACTCCAAATTTCGCTCTGAATCCGTTTTCGGTATTATTTTTCTCCAATTATGCTCTGATTTATCATTTGACTGTTCAGGGTTACATATTTGACAATTTATCATTTTGCCCTGATTGGTATTTTGACCCCAAATCTTAGGATTTTCACTAATTAAACCCTTTAACCCTCAATTTAGCATTTAATATCATAATTAAATATGCGAGGTGTTATAGGACCAAACTCAATCGTGTGTGATTATTACAAATTCCAATTAGTTTGATTAATAAATAAAATAAAATTTAACAATGCATACCATAATTTTGTTTAAAAATTTAAAAATCATATAAAAATTAAAATATGGCACCATCTGTCACAACTCACTTCTCCTTTTCTCTCATTTTGTCACGTGTATTTATTTGTTATTAGCTGATAGAGGAGTTAGTTTTATCAGTTAGTTTGATAGTTGAGTTAGTTCCTATTTTTGCAGAGCATATATATCAGTAGAATTCATTTTTCACATTTTCTTGATTCAACGGAGGTTACCTTCTTTCTCTTGGATTCTTTAGATTCTGATACCGTCCTTGTGTGTTCTAGAATGCAGATTTTCACAACTAAGTCAATTTTGAAAACGCATTTTCGCAGGACAGAAATGACTAATGATAGTAGGAAGTAGGTAATAAACTGTCTATTCCTTTGTCACTCTGTGAATCTTATGATGATAATCAATAACAAATTATTTAGTTTGGACTGTTTTATTTGTTTTTAATTGATATAAACTTTTTTTCTTCTTCTTTTCTTTGGACAGGAGTCCAGAGGTAAACGAAATGTTTGAGCCTTCGGAAAAGACCGCAATGTAGGTTCAAGATACATCCCTCATAGATGTGGCATTGTAATGCCATACTGCCATAGCCTTCGTATCTCTTCATTTCTTTTCTCCCTTCCATTTCCCGTGAAATAAACATTAAACAGTTTAGAACAAGAGCAATAAATGAATGAACGATTACCATCCACAATGTCAAAAGTTATAATAAGTTCCAAGATGCAAAATTTGAGATAAACTCCTAACTCTTCTCCTCAGTATTTACACATGCAGTCCCTTGTGTGCGCGTATATATGCAGACACACAGAGAGACAATAGATGGAGATATAATTATCAACTGTCGGGAAAAAAACACTATTTAAATATCAGAGTGCAACCGTACTAAACGCAAGGAATCAAAGGGAGTACTTAAACGCCATTCTCTTTGCTTTTTATTCAGTGGTCTTCCTTTCCCTGCTTTCTGTCTGTTAACTCGCACGTCTGCTAAACCCCAGGTACAACATTTTGTTTCCATGTCAAAGGATTCAAGCTTGAAGACACCATCAGCTTCTGCAGATGGATTATTTGAATCATCATCCACGGCGTATTTCACATACATAGGCCGGTCCTTGAATCGATCTAGATCATCTGGAACCCGAACTATCCTTTCAACACCAGGAGAAGACACCTGAAGGAACACATCTCAGATATAAAAGCTAATAGAACCAATAATAAGAAACATTGGTAATCAAAATTTCAATCCCTTAGCATCATCATTCAAATTCAGGAGGGAAAAAATAACCTCAGTGCCATGAGAAGAACATATGATTCATTTGCACTAAGATTTAAAAACATCATCAATAGCTTCCAGTGGATTTGATTAAGCAAGAAGGGAAACGAAAAGGATATAAGAGTACTTAAATAGTTTACACTCTCAAATTTTTTACATAGTGATAATCTTGAGATATCTCTATCCCTCAACATACGACAAAATGCCAATAAGATACTTGAAATGGTACCTCCAAACTCAAATTCTCAGGAACAAGTTTGGCAAGTTCCGCTTCATCCAATTTTGCTCTATAGGTTGTAGAAAAGACTTCAATATCTTCCATGCTGGGGGAGCCAGACCTATTGTACATGGAAGCCAGAACTCAGCAATTAAGACACGTCCAATATAATAGCAAGATAAGCAGCAGTTTACGCAAAAACGAAATGGTTATTCAAGACACATTGCATTAGGGAAACACAAAATGATGCAAAGTACTGATATTTGGTGAGTGCCTCTGCTGCAGTTAAAAGCCAGATTAATCCATTCATTGAGCAATGTACAGACAGCATTTACTGTTTTTAACTATAGATGAAGAGACCTGTTATGGGTTATGAAAAAGGTTTGCACTCAGAAACTGGGATAAATCAGGCACCCATCAAACGCAATTAGAAACCTGTGATATAATCATAAAAATCTCCAGACATTTTCTTACATTTTTAGGAGGGAAGGCACAACTGCACAATGGTATGTTTCTTTTGACAAGCTCAATACTCCTTAAATTATAGAGGCAAAAGCCTCTTCATTTTCTCACAGGGGATAGGAATGCTGAATATAATAATCGTCATTTAACTTCAACATTTCCTTTTTTCTTTGGACCTTCTTTACCGATAAAACTGCAACAACTCCCCCTATCCTGATCAAATGGTTCCAAAGTCTGAAATTCAGCCTAACACCCTATCTCAGTATACTAGATATGGAGGAAGGAAATAAGCCTCAGAATAATTATGAACAGCAGGAGCAAATAAGTAAATAATAATAAAAAAAACACAACAGATATCCAGCCTAGTATATCCGATCATGCAATCTTAAACTTAGGCTTACTACATAAAACAACAAAAATAATTACACGAAGACAAAATAAGTAAGGATTCATCATAAATCATTTAGAATAGATATGGATTATTCATAATGACTGTTGAATAATAAAATTTATCAAATTAAACCAGACTGACTGTCTGTCTAAGGAAGTTCAACTATATCTGAATCAGGAAGTATACATTTCACAAACTGACAGACATAGCCACAAGCGTCGTATCCCGTAATTCCTTGATGCTTAACCTAATCAAATTGGTTAAATTTGATTAAACCAGCATAAACTCCAAAGTTCCAGTCTAAATCGTTTTTAGCTCATTTTTTTGGGTTTTTAATTTTTTAAAAAAGGGAAGGGGGGAGGGGGTTCTATAGTAAAATTAAAATACAACAATAAATAGCATCTTATAAAGTATACACACAGCAATAATGTCTTACTTGTTGGAAAGCTTCTCAATGCGTACTTGAATAGCGGAATTGAGCAATGTTTTAAAAGCATAAATTTGCAAGTCACCGTCAAAAGACACGGTAACCTCTTTAGCAATGGCTAGTGCCTTTTTATCCCACCATGTTCCAGCGAGTGAGATTCCACCACCTGCGCCGCCATCACCTGCCTTCAAAATGTGCAAAATCATATTCCTCAACAAAATCAAAATTTTCTATCAACAATATAAATATAGAATACCAATCGAAACTCAAACACATCTTACATAGGGTACACCATCCTCTTCTTCATAGTCCACTTCTTCGTCATCCTCATCTTCATAGACCTCTTCTTCGTCAGAGTATTCTTCATCGTTGTCGTTATCATCGCCATCATCATCATCATCCAGTGATGCCTCTGTGCAATCAAGAAATTCCGTCAGAAAATGTAAGCAATTTAAACAGACCAAAAATAAAAATAAAAATCAACTTGAAGTTCAACGGAGAGTTCAGAAAGAGATAGAGAGAAACAATGAGATTTGAGAGATTCAGAGCAGTTATACCGTATTCAAATTCATCAAGGAGGTCCTCTTCTTCTTCCATTGATACTTCTTGGACAATGGAGGTTTCTAGAACTGGCTCTGAATCAGAGTTTCTCTTCTTGCCATGCAGAATTAGGGGCTTTCTCGGAATATATGGAAATGTCAAAAATTGAAAAGAGAATTTAGTTGCAGAGCGAGGAGGGGCATAGAAGCTAGTTCTAGTGATTGTGATAAGTGGTGAGGAAAAAATTCGCGAAGGTTTCAAGCTCCAAGGTTTAATCAAATCCATTGGACTTCTCCAGAACCCTTGCCAAGAAGTAAAGTCTAAAAGGCTAAACGGCGAAATTCGAATACAGTAGAACTCTGAAGGATTTAAATTTGAGAATATAAGGTTAAATTCGAATATTACATATAAAAAAAGTTACATTTTCTTTTTTAATGTATGTTATTTAAATCAGTGTATTAATTACACGTAATCAACAATAAAGTAGTTTGTAAGAGATAAATTAAAAATGGTCGTTCATTTTTTAGAAAAGTATTTCTCCGGTCATCGATACAGTGAATTTAAAACGATGTCGTTTTAGAGTTATAAATTTAAAAAATAATAATCATAAAGACTAATATAATCTTGTAATATATTATAATTACAAAAATATCTTGATTTTCGTTTCAAAACGATGTCATTTTGAATTCACGAGAGATAACTTATCTCCATTGACGGAAGAAATGTTTTACTCTTAATTTTTCTAACCAACCAAAGTGCTCAAAAAAGTTTTGTTTTTTTGGGAGATATTATATTTACTATATATTTTTTTTACTTCCTATTACTACTAAATTTTAATCATTCATTTCTGTCAATCTAACGGTTATAATTTATGGGGTCATACTTATTAATTAATTATTAATTTATAATAAATTATGACAGTTAGATTGATGAAAATCAACCGTTAAAATTTACTAATAAAAGTTACTTAAAAAAATAGGAAAAGTATAACATTTCTGTTTTCTTTTCTTTTATTTTTTTAAAAAAGGTATCAAAACAATTTAAAGGGGTTGCAATAAAATTTGGCATCAACGAACAACGAGTAAAACGGTGCGTTAGAGCCAAACGATCGTCGTCCTCGCTCGTCGTGGATCTGAATTCTGAAGTCTGAACCCCTTTGTCTCTCTGCTCCTCCTAGAGTCCTAGATTCGCACACGCTGCAATTGAACTGATCTTCATCGAGAGATTCAAGTCCCATACATAAGATGGTGCTCACATCGACCGTGCGTGATTACATCAACCGCATCTTGCAGGACATCTCCGGCATGAAAGTTCTCATCCTTGATTCTCAAACGGTACATCGCACTTTTCCTTGACGATCTTCCACAATGCTCAAAAATCTCACCAAAATATCAACGTATTTCGATTTGTTTTTTGTTTTTGTATTTCATATATTGCCAAATGCCAAACATGAATAAGAAGATACATGTGTTACCTACGGTTGGATCAATTTCTCTTTCTTATTTATATATAGTTTTTAGTTTTTCGCTCTGAATTGTGGATGATTAAGTGTCACTTACGGTAGTTCGAATTACCTATTTGCGATTTTCACGGACTGCTATTTCTGCTAAGCTTAGCTACAAATTGCTCTCGATTGTTCTTACGGATCTGTCTGTCAAGCAAATTATGTAGTGCAATTATATGGCGGTTTTAATTTTTCAGTATTTTTGTGGTTCATGAGTAAATTTTTGTTAGGAATAGGTTTGTATGTTCTATGAAAGATGAAAATACGTCATTGCCTTGGTAATTAATTACGAAATTATATTGTTTCTGTTGTTACTTTGTTTCCTTTCAACAATGGAAGGCAAGTAGAGATTGTAGGTTTGAAACCACTGGAGTGACAGTGAGACTCCGCATTTCATTTTGTTTGAAAGGAAAGGCTCATTACGTTTGATAATTATGATGGTCTGATTGATTATTGTGATATTGGCCTCGTTTGATATTATGCTTATAATGTTGATGTATGCTTGTAAAACCGTTACCTGTGGTTTTATTGCCAAGACACCGAGGAATTATGTTTTGACTTATACTATTTTGTTTTACTCCGTCAAAACCATAAATAAACCTGCCAAAGGTACTTAATTCCTAGAATTTATTTGCTTCTGTTTGTTTAGGAGGAAATCAGTGTTTTTGATGTTGAGTCAATATATTTCTCAAATCGATGCAGGTAAGTATTGTAAGTGTTGTGTATTCACAGTCAGAGCTTCTTCAGAAAGAGGTGTTTTTGGTAGAGTTGGTAGATTCTATTTCCAAGTCAAACGAATCAATGTCACATCTCAAGGCCATTTACTTCGTTCGACCTACATCAGAGAACATCCAGCATATGCGCCGCCAGCTGGCTAGTCCCAGATTTGGAGAGTATCACCTATGTAAGTTCTTTAAATTTTTGCTTGAAAATTAGAAAAACTATAGTGCAATCCTTCTTTAGGAATTTAATTTCTAATTTCCCCAAGTTAAATAGTGATTTTCTCCTATTGATTTGAAGACTCTTTGTGAATCCATTCCAAAATTACAGTTTTCTCCAACATAATGAAGGACACTCAGATTCACATACTTGCTGATTCAGATGAACAGGAAGTTGTCCAGCAAGTTCAGGTAACTGCTTATGCGTGCACAATACTCTCTACTTTTTTGTCTGTTTGGACTTAGGAACTTTGCTATAACTATTTTATGATTTTTTGAACTGCACATTAATTTTTGTGATGATAGATGCTTGTCTTAGAATTTATTTCAAAATAGATAGGAAAATTACTGGTCAGTTTGTAGTATCACAAGAATATTATTAAGTTCTCGTGAAATAACTCTTGGATGGAAGGTTATCTTCGTCTTTCTTAATCCTCCTATAATTGCAAATTTTTTATGTTCTCTGTCCAGTTCTTTATCTGATATATGACTCCATATGTTGAGCTTGAAGCCTTGAACACCCGATCCTTTGTGTTGCAATCTCAAATGCTGGGGTTTGTGTTGCCAAGTTTCATTCTGATATAGTTGTCCTGATCATCCAGGAGTTCTATGCAGACTTTGTTGCCATTGATCCTTATCATTTCACTGTGCACGTGCCTTCAAATTACATTTATATGCTCCCAGCTGTGGTAGATCCTTCAAAATTGCAGCACTTCTGCGATCGGGTTGTTGACGGTCTTGCAGCTGTTTTTTTGGCATTAAAACGGAGACCAGTAATTAGATATCAAAGGACGTCTGACATTGCAAAAAGGATAGCACAGGAAGCAGCTGTGAGTTTAGGCCACCTTGTCTTGCTGGATTTTTTTTGCTTTATGTTAAATAATTGTATATGCATTTTAGCAATGTGGTTATTGGTTTCTGCAATGAGTTCAAGATTTTATATCTTCATAATTTCTATAATTCTGAATTTCGTATGGCTTATCTCTGAGCATGTGCATACTTCTGTGCACACATATAGCCAATCTATATGTTCTTTTGGGTGGCAATGTGTTTATCTGATAGAACTGGACTAGAATTTAGTAAATTTATGGAGAAAGCAGGAAAATTTATTGATGAGGAAAGTAGAGTGAATTCAGTGGCTGGTAATCAGTATTTCGAGAGCTTGGTCTCTCCCCATAACTCAATTCTAATTTTACTGTACCTCCCTCCTTGCCCCCTATTTCCTTTTATTCTACTGTGGATCTAGAGGAGTATACTAATTTACATTATTGGGCTTGAAACAGAAACTGATGTACCAAGAGCAAAGTGGTCTTTTTGATTTTAGGCGAATGGAAGTATCTCCATTGTTATTGGTGATTGACAGGAGGGATGATCCTGTAACCCCATTGCTAAATCAATGGACTTATCAGGTATCTGTGAGATTGACACATGATCATAGTGCTTACTGACAAACTTACAGCTGAGCAATTTGATTACTTGTTTATTCATTTAAGTAATGCTCTATTGTGGTGTTATAATACTTACAGGCTATGCTTCATGAATTGATTGGAATCCAAGACAACAAAGTGGACTTAAAATCCATTGGTAAATTTCCAAAAGATCAGGAGGTTGGATACATTTCTTATACTGGGTAATTATGTGAGCACCATATTGCAGTCTTGATTTTGTGCTCATTGAAAGCAACTTTGTTGCCATTTCTTGTCACAGGAGGTTGTGCTGTCATCAGAACAAGATTCCTTTTTCAAAGCTAACATGTATGAGAATTTTGGGGATATAGGTATGAATATCAAGCGGCTGGTTGATGAATTTCAGCAAGTGGCAAAGAGTAACCAGAACATCCAAACAATAGGTTTGCACTTTTATTCTCTCACATTCCAGAGTAACAAAACTCCTTCAGCTGTTACAATTACAGATGTAAAAACTTATTTATACATGGCGACATAGTATAAAATTCACTGATTTTATGATTTGACTCTTGGCAGAGGATATGGCCAAATTTGTTGACAATTACCCTGAGTACAGAAAAATGCATGGAAATGTGACAAAACATGTTACTTTGGTAACAGAAATGAGCAAGATAGTTCAAGAGCGAAAACTTATGTTAGTTTCACAAACAGAACAGGAGTTGGCTTGCAATGGAGGGCAAGGGGCTGCTTTTGAGGTATATATTGTATGTAGTTATTGAAACATTCTCCTTTGCTTATGCTCTAACTTCAAAGATTTTTGGATGACCATTAAAAAACTAAGGAAACTTATATTCATTTATTTACATACTGTATAATTTCTGTTATAATTGAAACTTATATCTAATAGATTACCCCACACAGAGAACTTTCGAGATGGAAAAAACAGGAGAATCCTTTCAAGTTGTGCAATGTTTGTTAGAAATTAAAAAATGTTCCCTTGTTCTCGGCACATGGGACTTGCTGATGTATTTCTTTGGCGGTTCTGCGAAATTAGAAAACTAATATATATTAGTTTTTTCATTTCAGTGCTGATATTCGTTAGAAAGGATGCGATGTCCTTCTTGTAATTTTTTTGTTCTGTCTTATTAAGTTTTACGGCTCTGGTTGTTTAGAGATAGAAATTGATATTACAGAAATGAAAGGAAAAAAATCTGTTTATCGACGAGAAATGGAACGTACACTCAAGAGACAATTCTCTTGCCAAGGGGAATTCTCCTTCAACTGAGCACTCTCAGCTTCACTCAATATTTGTCAAAAGCTACTTCTCAAAGAGGGGTATATCCCCTTATATACATGCAATACACTATTGTGACAAGCCTCCAAATAACTAGCCTATACTAACTAACTAACTAACTAACTAATCTAACTGACTGCCTCCTGTGTTCCCTTGTATTTTTATTCGTAACAATAAGCTT